AAAAATGTTCATTGTATAATGGAAAGTGTTAGAAATGTGTTCAACAAAAGGGAACGCTCAGTACCCCCTCCCCACCAAAACAAAAAACAGAAGTTTAAATTTTAAATAATTTTTATAGACATGAGAAAATGTTACATGCAAATGAAGGAAACAGGCCAGGCGTGGTGGCTAACATTTGTAATCCCAGCACTTTGACAGGTTGAGGCTGGTAGATCATGAGGTCAGAAGTTCAAGACCAGCCTAGCCAACATGGTGAAACCCCATCTCTACTGAAAATACAAAAATTAGCTGCCTGTAATCCTAGCTCCTTGGGGGCTGAGGCAGGAGAATTGCTCAAGCCCGAGGGTCAGAGGTTGCAGTGAGCCGAGATGGTGCCACTGCACTCCAGTCTGGGCAACAGTGAGACTCTGTCTCAAAAAAAAAAAAAAGAAAATGAAACAAAATTATACATATAATCTGGCTGGGCACGGTGGCTCATGCCTGTAATCCCAGCACTTTGGGAGGCCAAGGCAGGTGGATCACGAGGTCGGGAGTTCAAGACCAGCCTGGCCAACATAGTGAAACCCCATCTCTACTAAAATACAAAAAATTAGCTGGGCATGGTGGCGGGTGCCCGTAATCCCAGCTGCTCAGGAGGTTGAAGCAGGAGAATCGCCACTACACTCTATCCTGGGGGACACTGCAAGACTCCATCTCAAATAAATAAAATCTAAGTATGACAGGGAATACAGAGACCCTATATTTATAGAAATTATATGAAAGATGTGAGTAGAACACTTGAGGTACTAAGGTAAGCTCGTTTTGTTTTCTTTTTAGTTTTTCCTTAGGCTTCTTGCCGTTTCGCTTGTTTTCTGCCATTTTCTTCTGTGGCTCAAACCTGGCTCACCCAGGGCTGGGGCTCCTGAGTGGCCTCACCTAGTGGGACAGAAGTGCTCTGCTCTAGGCCATCAGTGTCATTTCTAATTACAAAGTCACGTGAATGACAGACAATCCTGGGGGCTCTGATGGCTCAGTTTTTTGATTTAGAGAGTGGAGGTCCCGACCCTGGAATAAGTGAGCAGCTGCGAGTGAGACACTGGCACAGCTAACCCCCTGCAGTCAGCAACAGCAGCAGTGGCATCAGCCTCTCACCCCAAACACATTGGAGAAGAAAGCAAAAATATATCCTCCTTCTTGTTTACTGCTTTGGAAATCGTTATTCCTGTCTCATTTCTGATACAAGAAGGTTCTGTTGTTTCCTGGTGAAGTCCTTAGAAGCAGACTGTGCCTCTCCGCCTTCCTCTGCCCAATTAGCACCTGAGCTCTGTGCTCCCCCACCCTTCCTGGATAGGCTGGAGGCACAGGCCTGTTGTTTGGTGTGATATCCACCGGGAGCTAGAAGTGGGTAGGCCTGGAGCCACTGCCTGTCCGCCTCTGTCTGACATGGGGTGAATGAGAATGCAGAGGAAAATTTCAACACAGGCTCTGCTTTCTAACCTCCTTTAAAACTGTCTTAGTCCAAATTCAGATCAAGCCCATCACTGACTCACTGATTCATTAATATCTATTGGCCCCCAACTCTGGCAGTAAGTGGCACTGTGCTAGGCATGGAAGAGAAACCCAAGCAATGTCAACCCCTCTCTTTTCCCCAGGAGCATATAACGTGGTTAGAGAACGAGACATATTTAGGAAACAATTATGGGACATTGCCAGAAAAAGTCCCAAGCTGTGTAGAATAGACAGTAGATGCTATGGCTATTAGAATGGGGAGGGAGAGAGGACTATGGCTGAAGAGGTCAGAGAATGAAGGCTTCCTGGAGGACGGGACCCTTAAGCTCAGTCTTGAAGGATGGGTAGGCTTGGGTGATCACACAAAATGAAAAGAGAGAATGTTCTCTATGCTGGGTGTTGTGGCTCATGCCTGGAATCCAAACACTTTGGGAGGCCAAGACAGGAGGATCACTTGAGCCCAAAAGTATGAGACCAGCATGGGGGTAACATAGTGAGACCTTGCGTCTTTTTTTTTTTCTTTTTTGAGACGGATTCCTGCTCTGTCACCCAGGCTGGAGTGCAGTGGCTCGGTCTTGACTCACTGCAACCTCTGCCACTAGGTTCAAGTGATTCTCCTGCCTCCTGAGTAGCTGGAATTACCCAGCTAATTTTTGTATTTTTAGTAGAGATGGGGTTTCAGCATCTTGGCCAGGCTGGTCTTGAACTCCTGACCTGGTAATCCACCCGCGTTGGCCTCCCAAAGCACTGGGATTACAGGTGTGAGCCACTGCGCCTGGCCATGAGATCCTGTTTCTAAAAATAAATAGATAGCCGGATGCAGTGGCTTGCACCTGAAATCCCAGCACTTTGGGAGGCTAAGGTGGGCAGATCACCTGAGGTCAGGAGTTCCAGACCACCCTGGCCAACATGGAGAAACCCCATCTCTACTAAAAATGAAAAATTAGCCAGGCTTGGTGGCACATACCTGTAATCCCAGCTACTCAGGAGGCTGAGGCAGGAGAATAACTTGAACCCAGGAGGCAGAGGTTGTGGTGAGCTGAGATCATGCCATTGCACTCCAGCCTGGGTCACAAGAGTGAAACTCCCTCTTAAAAAATAAATAAATAGACAGATGATAGATAGGTAGATAGATAGATAGATAGATAGATAGATAGATAGATAAGAGGGGGAGAGAGAGAGAGATGAGAGAATGTTCTCCACCCCAAGGGTGGGAAAAGGCTTGAACAAAGATGCAGAGGCCACATGGATTGCAAGGAGGAGGAGAAGTCCTGTGTTTGCAGGGATGAGTGGCCTTAAATAGGGCTCACACCTATGCTCTGGGGAGGTGGGCTGTGGCCTCAGCAGCATCCACACCTAATGCAGGACAACACCATCGACTTCCTGGAGTATGTGGCAGCCCTGAATCTCGTGCTGAGGGGCACCCTGGAGCACAAGCTGAAGTGGACCTTCAAGATCTATGATAAGGACGGCAATGGCTGTATTGACCGCGTGGAGCTACTCAACATTGTGGAGGTTAGTGTCTCTGCCCATGGGCACTTGAGCACTGCTGGGCTCTGAGGGTTGGCCACAAGTGGCCAGCGGGGACTGAACAAGAGGCCTGAAATCATTCTGAGTGTGTTTCCTGTGTTTTCATTCAGAATGTGTAATTTCTAGTGGAAGTAAGCTAGAAATCAATCACAAAAAGATTATTAGAAAATCCCCATCTGTTTGGAAATTAGAGTGTATACTTCCAAATACTCCATGGATCAAAGAAATTCTCTCCTCTCTTTCTCTCTCTCTTTCTTTCTCTCTCCCTTTCTCTCTCTCTCTCTCTCTCACACACACACACACACACACAAACACACACACAGGACAAGTATCATAAATTGAAAAAATAATGCAAGCATGATATATCACAGCTTGTGAAATGCAGCTAAAGCTGGACTTGCAGAGGAATTTATAGATTTAAAATGTACATATTAGAAAATAAGACTTAAAATGCATATATTAGGAAGTAGAGGCTGGGTGCAGTGGCTTACTCCTGTAATCCCAGCACTTTGGGAGGCTGAAGTGGGAGGATTGCTTGAGCCCAGGAGTTCAAGACCAACCTGGAAAACATAGTGAGACCCCCCCTATTTTTTTGAGACAGAGTTTGGCTCTTGTTGTCCAGACTGGAGTGCAATGGCTCGATCTCAGCTCACTGCAGCCTCTGCCTACCGGGTTCAAGCAATCCTCCTGCCTTAGCCTCCAGGGTAGCTGGAATTACAGGCACCCGGCACCACGCCTGGGTAATTTTTTTTTTTTTTTTTTTTTTGAGGTGGAGTCTCACTCTGTCACCCAGCTGGAGTGTAGTCACGAAATCTCAGCTCACTGCAACCTCCGCCTCCTGGGTTCCAGTGATTCTTCTGCAGCATCCACACCGAGTAGCTGAGACTACAGGTGTGTGCCGCCATACCTGGCTAATTTTTGTATTTCTAGTAGAGATGGGGTTTCACCATGTTGGCCAGGCTGGTCTTGAACTCCTGACCTTGTGATCCCCCGCCTCAGCCTCCCAAAGTGCTGGGATTACAGACGTGAGCCACTGCACCCTGCCGTAAGATTGCATCTCTAAAAAAAAGAAAAATTAGCCAGGCTTGGAGGCACATGCCTGTAGTCCTAGCTACTTGGGAGGCTGAGGTGGGAGGATTGCTTGAGCCAGGAATTGGAGGCTTCAGTAAGCTATGATCATGCCATTATGTTCCAGCTGGGACAACAAAGTAAGACCCTGTCTCAAAAAAAGAAAGAATAGAAAACAAAAAATATATATTAGGAAGCAATTAGAAAATGCAAATTATAGTAGAAAGTAAGACTTTATATATTAGAAAATCAATGATCTAAGAAGCCATCTCAAGAAATTAGATAAAAGGAAGAGTAAATTAAGTCCAGACGCAGGGACTCACGCCTATAATCCCAGCACTTTGGGAGGCTGAGGTGGGTGGATCACTTGAGCCCAGGAGTTCAAAACCAGTCTGGGCAACATAGTGAGACCCTATCTCTACAAAAAATACAAAAAATTAGCTGGGCATGGTGATACACACCTGCGGTCCCAGCTACTCCAAAGGCTGAGGTGGGAGGATTGCCTGAGCCTGGGAGGTTGAGGCTGCAGTGAGCTGTGATTGTGCCGCTGCACTCCAGCCTGGGCAACAGAGTGAAACCCTGTCTAAAAAAAAAAGCTGGGCGTGGTGGCTCATGCCTGTAATCCTAGCACTTAGGGAGGCCAAGGCAGGTGGATCACCTGAGGTCAGGAGTTTGAGATCAGCCTGGCCAACATGGTGAAACCCCTTCTCTACTGAAAGCACAAAAATTAGCCAGGTGTGGTGGCACGTGCCTGTAATCCCATCTACCCCGAAGGCTAAGGCAGAAGAATCACTTGAACCCGGGAGGCAGAGGTTGCAGTGAGCCAAGATTGTGCCACTGCACTCCAGCCTGAGTGACAGAGCAAAAAACTCCGTCTCAAAAAAAAAAAAAAAAAAAAAAAAAAAAAAAAATTAAACCCAAAGATAGTAGAAGACAATAAACAGCGAAAATCAATAAAATAGAAGACAAATGCATGAGAGAAAAAGTCAAGAAGATCAGCTCAGTTATTCATTTTAAAAGACTAACAATCACTCTCTATTAACAAGAACGATCAAGAAAGAAAAGAAGTGCCTAGTACGTTCCAGACTCCAGCGTGTTCCCTGTGTTAGCCAGACCTGCACTCTGAGGCAGGCATCGCTAGCCCTTTCACAGAGCAAGAAGTTGTTTCATGGAGATTCTGTAGTCGGCCAACTTAGTCTACCTAGGAAGTGCTGGGGCTGGATTTAACCCCTCAGTCTCCCCAGACACGTCGATAAGGCCTACTTTGTGCTGGGCAGGAGGCTGGGCAGTGAGGCCGTAGAGGTGACCAAGGAAGTCATTAAGTACAAGACTGACCCCGAGATGGAGAAGGAGCTTCAGCGGCTCGGGGAGGGGATCGTGGTCAAGACCAGACTGACGGAAAGGTGTGATTTAGAGGTCTACCAGCTGAAGCAGGAAATCCAGGCCCTGAAAGACACCAAACCCCAGGCCCAGACCAAAGAGGTGGTCCAGGAGATCCTCCAATTCCAGGAAGACCCTCAAATCAAGGAGGAGTTGGAGTCTCTGAGGGCAAGGCTCTCAGAGGAACAGAAGAGGTAAGTGGACCTGGAGAGGGAGAGGGCTTCCCAGGAGGATCAAGCAGATCGCCAGCACGGAGGAGGCGCTCTCGCGGGTGAAGGAAAGAGTGCTGCAGCAGGAAGTAGGTACAGGAGGAGCCCGGCCTGAGGGCAGAGGTGAGCTCCTTCGCGTGGAGCTGCGGCAGATGACAAGCCGCGTGCGGAGCTGTGACGGCTGCAGAGCCGGCGCACAGAGCTCGAGCTGCAGCCCCGCAGGGAGGCCGAGCGCGAGGTGCAGCGGCTGCAGCAGCGGCGGCCGTGCTGGAGCAGGAAGAAGCTGAGGCCCGTGAGTGAGAAGGTGACCCGCAAGCAGAAGGCGGTGCTGCAGCAGGCCCCGCAGCAGGCCCGCGAGCATGCCCTGCTCCGACTCCAGCTGGAGGAAGAACCGCTCCGGCCGCAGCTCCTGGAGGGTGAGCTCGAGACCCTGCGGAGGAAGCCGGCCGCCGTGGCAAAGGCGGAGGTCAAGGAGAAGGTGGTGTTTTCCGAGAGCATCGAGGTGGGGAGGGGCGACACTGAGCAAGAGCTCTGGAGGCTCCAGAGCACCCTGGAGCGGGAGAGCCGCCGCGAGCGCGAGCCGGACGCCGAGGGGAGCCGCTGGAAGCCCGGCTTTCGGAGCTGGAATTCCATAACTCCAAGTCGTCCCAGGAACTAGACTTTCTAAAGAAAGAGAACCACAAATTACAGCTGGAGCGGCAAAACCTGCAGCTGGACACCCGAAGGCTGCAATCGGAAACTGAAATTCCGATCTCAGCGACGGAAACACGAGACCCGCGGAACATGACCGCGGCGGACTCTGGGACCAGTCACGACTCCAGACTGCGGTCCCTGGAGAGGGAACTGGACAACCTCCAGAGGCTCTCCAAGGACAAAGACCTCGAGATCGACGAGCTGCAGAAGCACCTGGGCTCCGTGGCCGTCAAGCGGGAGCAGCGGGAGAACCACCTGCGGCGCCATCGTGGTCATCCACCGCGACACGGGCCGCGAGCTGTCCCCGGAGGACGCCCACTGCGCCGGCCTCATCCCCCGGAACATGCTAGTGAAACTCAAAAGCCAGGAGTGTGACTGGGAGATCTCAGTGAATGGTCTCAACGGGGAGTCCTCCCTGATACACGACAGGAAGTCTGGCGAGAAGTTCTCCATCAAAGAGGCCCTGAAGAGCGGCAGGCTGACCCCTGCTCAGTACGACCCTTGTGTCCACAAGGATATGTCCATCCAGGAGCTGGCGGTCTTGCTGTCTGGGCAGAAGTAGGCACAGCCCTTGCAACTCTTCTTACTGGCAGAGGCTGGCCCTCTCCTACGACGCTGTGGCCTCCTTGGTGTCATCGTCTCCCTGGCCCTGTGCAGGCCAAGCATTTTATAAACACCCTCGCTGCCAGGCTGTCAAAGTCCAGCCCACATGCGGGACAGGCACTGGCTGAAGACAGGCAGCTCTAGTCCCAACCATCATTCACTCTGAGTGACCCACTTCATCCTCCAGTGATTGCACAAATGTGATGCCCTTTTTTCCTCCCCTTTCCCATACACTCCCAGCAACAAACTCCTCGAGATACCTGCACACAGTCTGCTTGTCCACTAAAGGACAAGCGACCACAGCAGCCAAGCCCACTCAATGCAGCATGGGCACTGGCACACCAGACAGTGACACTTTGCCCTGCAAAAGCCTAGGCCCATGGGGGCTGCTGCCCGTCAGGACATCTCTCCAGATTTCTGACTTAAAACCAACTTTCCATCAGAAAAGCCCCCTCGGTAGTTACTCTGCTCATGAAACAGATCTGGGCTCCATGCCAGGGAAGGCAAACAGAAATCACAAGTGTCCAGCCCTCGGTGCTAAAGTGGACATCAATTGTCAGCCAGACTGTCCCAGCACCAACAGAGAATGTTTCAGAGTTCTAGCATTGAAATCCTTTGATAGTGGATTGTGTTGCTGTTAGCCCTGGTTTCAGTGCTTTACAAGTCTCGCTTATTATCTTATTGATATTTAGGTATGCAAAACAGTTGATAATTCACCAAGCAAATTTCTGGTTCTCTGTATCTCATGTATAACAGTGAGAACAATAAGGAGCTTTATTTACCGCATGAAAATAAACCTGGTGGCTGGAGACTACTTGATGGTCAGCACGTTAATTCTTTTTTTTTTTTTTTTTTTTTGAGACAGAGTGTTGCTCTGTCACAAGGCACCAGGCTGGAGTGCAGTGGTGATCTCGGCTCACTGCAACTTCCACCTCCCGGGTTCAAGCAATTCTCCTGCCTCAGCCTCCTGGGTAGCTGGGACTACAGGCGCACACCACCGTGCCCAGCTAATTTTCTTGTATTTTTAGTAGAGACGGGGTTTCACCATGTTGGGGGGCCAGGATAGTCTTGATCTTTTGACCTTGTGATCTGCCTGCCTCGGCCTCCCAAAGTGCTGGGATTACGGGCACGTTTCTTCTTTTAAAAAAAAAAAAAAAAAGACACAGCCTCTGTTCTCAGGGAGCGCCAGCCTGGGAGCTGAGGAGAACCATCATATGTGTCCATCTCTTCTGCATTTACATGGTGCTTTCTTTTTTTATTATTTATTTATTTATTTTGAGACAGAGCCTCCCTCTGTTGCTCAGGCTGGAGTGGGTGGCTCTATCTCAGCTCACTGTAACCTCTGCCTCCTGGGTTCAAGCGATTATCCTGCCTCAGCCCCCCGAGTAGCTGGGATGACAGGTGCCCACCACCACTCCTGGCTAATTTTTGTATTTTTAGTAGAGACAGGGTTTCACCATGTTGGCCAGGCTGGTCTTGAACTCCTGATCTCAAATAATCTGCCCTCCTCGGGTTCCCAAAGTGCTGGGATTACAGGCATGAGCCACAGTCTACATGGTGCTTTCACAAACATATTGTCACCAGGAGAGGAAACAAGGCAAAGGAGAGACCTGGATTTTTCCCTCTGGTCCATGGGGAGGGAACATGTGTATCCCCATCATTCTGCTTTACACATATACAGACACACACATATATAGATAAACTGAATTTTCTTCTCTGCATCTCTATTTCTTCTGTGTAGAACGTGATTTAGACTGTCATGGTGACCTAAACCTCCCTCATTAGAGGTTTTGGATTTGGGCTTTGCAGCTCACTGTGGAAATGCAAATGTTGTTGGGGTCAGGTGGGGTGTGAGGCCAGGAACTCAGCTGGAATTAGGCCAGTGGGATTCTGAGAAACACAGTCTTAGGACAGGTCAGTTTTGATCCGGATCTGGATTATGTGATCCTAAGACACACAGCCTGGGAAGCCAGCACTGGGGAGGTGGTGCTGAGGCATGTGGGTCACTGGGGTAAGGGTGGAGGCTGCAGGGTCTCCCATCAATACAGCTGGGTTTTCTTTGGCAGGGAATTTACCAGCTGAAGAAAGCCTGCCGGCGAGAGCTACAAACTGAGCAAGGCCAGCTGCTCACGCCTGAGGAGGTCGTGGACAGGATCTTCCTCCTGGTGGATGAGAATGGAGATGGTAAGAGGGGCAGAGATGGTGGGGGGATGGCTGCCCACTCTGCGTCACTGCCATTTTCTGGCCGCATGTCCTTGAACAAGGCCCTCTACCTCCCAACCCTGGGGTCCTCATCTGTGAGAAGGCTGGGGAGAAGATGACATGAACACGTGTTTGTAGGAACAACTAAAAGTTCTGTAGGAGTTGCTGGTGCAGGCCAGGCACGCAAAATAGAAAGAAGAGGAACTTTGGAGTCAGGCAGAGAGTAATACATTGAGCTTCTCACCCTGGTCTCAATTTCCTCATCTGGAAAATGGGGCTAATAATAGCCGTTGAGAGGAATGAATGGGATAATGTGTTTAAGAGCAGGCACTGTGTGTAGGCTTTCATTCAGGTTGCTTGGGCTCTCCTCCCTGTGACCCAGTGTCGAGCCACAAGGCTGTGTTGGGGGAGAGCTGGCTTGGAATACACACATGAGCCCTCCACATCGCTCAGCTCCACCCAGCATTTCCAAGGTACCGTGGGCAAAAGTAAAACTTCAATTCATCTGCAAAGAACGCCGCTTAAAGGTGGCAGGAGACTCCTGGAGATTCAGACACCTGACAAGCCGAAAGTTTGGGGCCTGAGACTGCAGGATAGTTGGCATAAGAGGTGTAGGCACTCCCAGGAGCGCGTTCTCTCCTCCTACCCCCAGACCCACGTCTCCCCTTCTTCCGCATGACCGCCTCTCCTCCCCCTTGCTCAGGCCAGCTGTCTCTGAACGAGTTTGTTGAAGGTGCCCGTCGGGACAAGTGGGTGATGAAGATGCTGCAGATGGACATGAATCCCAGCAGCTGGCTCGCTCAGCAGAGACGGAAAAGTGCCATGTTCTGAGGGGTCTGGGGCCCCTCCACGACTCCAGGCTCACCCTGGTTTCCCGGGTTGTGGGAAGGTCCCTGGCTCAGCCTGCTTATATCCATTCTTCCCCTGGTGTAGACTTCCTGGCACCCCCTGTTCAGGACTGAGTGGGGTTGGGAAAGGGCTGCTGGGTGTGAAGTGACCAACAGGACATAGTCCATTCCAGCAGATTCTTGGGATGGTGAAGGAAAGCCGGTTACTTTTCCCCTTTAGCTGCTCCCGGGAGGACTATGCCTTGGCTGGCTGGTTGTGGGGCTCCTGCAGTCTCCAGGTGTTCTCAGTTGGAAGCAGGAGCCAACCGAGGGGTGAGGGTCCCACAGACCAAATCAGCAATGAGAACACAAAGACCGGTAGGAGGCAGGGCCGGGAAGGTGTTGAGACTGAAGAAAAGGCAGGAGAGTTGGGGATCGGTGGCAGCAATAATTCTATAACCCCCAGGAAGCTGAGGAGCGTTCACAGGGAGGACCCTGGCCTGCTCCTCCCCAAGGCAGCCTCACCATTGGTGTCAGCAGGAAAAATGGTAGCAAACATGCTGCAGGCCGTGGTCTTCCTGCCTTTGGAAGAGTCGGCTGTGCTTAAAGGGGCTGTTTCAGCTCTGTCTGGGTGCTGCTCTGGGACCCCCTGCTGCCAACCCACCGTTCCCCCAAAAATCCTCCCTC